GCTTCGTTAAATTGTAACCATACCCAAACCATGTCTGAGGTGTAGAGTGAATCTCGCTTGCTCGGTCAGTCTGCGCCGCGAGAAGAATTAAGCGTGCGCGCGCGCGCATGTGTGTGTGTTCAACCCGTACCGATTGGTGCGGGAGGGGGCAGGTGTTGTAAATGAAAACGGTAGTTTGTTTATGATTTTAAAGGTAGCTACACAGGCATTTTAATAAAAATTACTAAGAAAAAGTATTAAAATTTTTAGTTTTCAATTTGTTATATCTCCTAAACCAATACCGTCCCCCACTTGATTCTTGCGGGGAATTACTCAGAAAACTCTCCCCTACAACATACCAACATAAGTGGCGAGGAAATCGGTGAGGTGTGACCTATTCGGCATATTTACCCGTAATGCTATCGGCATTGAAAAAAACTTTGTAAAACATTTGTATATTATTAAAATATTACAACATGAGCGTTCATCATTTTTCCAAACTTATAAAGGAAAGATAGCTACAGTATTACGGGATAGAAAAACGGAAAAATAGTGAAAACAAACACAAAAATTGACATATCTTTGTTATGTGTCTAACGTTGGTTAAAATAACTGTACATTTTTCTATGTTTTAATAGTTTGTAGTAAATCCATGTTTCGTAAAAATTGTGCAGACAGTCAAAAGTGAAAACATGGTACGATATTAACACTTTCATACTACACACATAAACCACGTTAAATATCGATTATTATCAAGAATGATTAGAGAAACGTACTGTTTAGTGATTATTAAAGAAATAACAAGCTATTAACTTTTCCGTATAGGCCATAATACCCTAGTTTACTCTAAACAATCGAAAGTAAAATTCGTAACTGTTTAATTCTCACGTGTTACTCTACTTAAGTGCCCTGGCTAAACTTCGGATAAACTTTGCATAAATGAAACTTGTCGCTATTGAATTTTGTGGCGAAAGACCAGCGTTACGTCAAAATCTGTCGTTGAATCCAAGATTTGAAATGGACTACATCAACGTAGATATCGTATAACCGTGGATCGCAGAGCAAAGTGGTATTTCCACTAGCTAAACCTCCCGAATAAAGACCACGTAACTCATAACGGCCTGTGTGGTTGTTCAGCAGCACCAGTGCGTTCCCCGAGTCACCGTCACAAAGACCGTTTTTTTCGTCTAACGAATTGGCGCAAAAGGTACGATTCGAGGTGTAAGAAATATATCTATTATCACTCCGGAGGCAATTTTCCTGCAATTTGCACAAAAAAATTTAATTAAGGCTTGCAATGACTCCGATTCACATAGCAACTACCTATAATTGCTTACTTGACCCGCTATCGTCACCTTTATCATCCGCTGTTCTTGGAAATCACGATGACCCAACGGGTCTTGGCCCCATCCTACAACATACCCCGTCTTACCGACGACATCTTCAAGAGTGGTCGAACTATAGTCGGACCATAGGCAAATAGGTTTAGTTAAAGGTGTGTACTCTACAGGCTTCTTCAGGGTCAAAATCGCCAGATTGGAGGTAAGATAATAGTCAAAATCGGGATGAAGGATGTAGAACGCAACTTTTATATTGACAATTCCATCTCCGTGCAATTTGAACAAGTTATATTGCCCAAAGACCACCTCCAAATTGTTGGGTTGTATATATTTGGGATTTTGTATATCGATCTCCGAAAACACACAGTACGCCACTATGAAACGAAAATATACATATGTATGAATTACATTTTCTAATTATCCACACTTACCATACAAAAATTTCACGTATGCCTTTCTAGTATTACATGTATATGTGATACTCTCGAATTACATTAAACATATTAATTTAGTATGTCAGAAAATAATTATACACGAATTATAAAACATTTATAAGTATTTATAAGTGTTTATAAGTATTTATAACAGCAGTGATTAGAATGTATAGTGTCTGTAGACATTCTGGATGTATTTAAGATAATTTCAAGGAAATGTACAGGAAATAAACCCTGATACTTTATTATGTATATTCCCTGATTATATTTTGGTAAATTGTGAATATCGAAAAATAAGCAATCCTATTTTGTTACTTAATATACATGGAAATAAGAAACTTATTAAAAGGATTCAAGAAAGCAGATGTTAGGAAGATACATTTACAGAGGAATTCACATGGTTCGATATATGGATTATACTAGTAATATTGAACTTTTTCGATTAGCATACCTGTTATTATATGTTTGTTTGTCAAAATAGAACCACCACATTGAAATTCGTATGTTGTTATAAAATCCTTCTCTTTTTTACGAATATAGTAGACTGGAACCACCCACGGCCACTGGCCTGGTAATGTGTTCGCCCCATTGGGAATCTGTCTATTTATGCTATCGGTGTAGTAGTCGGTAACACCGCATTCGTCGTTACTATTGTAATTCGGATTATTTATGCGATAGTTACTTGAATTTCGATGCCACGGCTGAAACTGCAGTAGTGGCTCTTTGTTTGGCGGATACACAATGTGCCCCAACTCGATATTAGCTTTGATATTTTTACCCGACACTGAAATAAAAAGTAACATATATCTTAAATTGCACATTCTCCTAGAGTACAGAAACAAATTTTATTTTCTTCTTACAATAGAAATATTGGTAATTATGCATAAAAGGGGCCTCCTCTCCGATTTGCTTCATTTTTAAATATGTTGTTGGGGATGTCTTCCCGAGTCATTTCATATATATATAAGGGCCGGACTCAAATAGTTTCGGAGATACAGGCTGAGAAAGGATACAAATAATAAATATACATATGGTAATTCTTCAGTATAGCTGCTCCACCTCCAAAATCAATCAAATTAGTCTCATTCGACGCGTTTTTCAACGAGAAACAACTTTTTTCTCAGACAAAATCGTTGCTCTGCCCTGCGAAGCGAGATATTAATTGTTAAAGTTGATAACTTTTAGAGTTAGAAAATCTGTCATACCGACGAAATGTAGCGACACAACATGGGTTTTCGACTTTCCACGTGAATCGAGATCCACTCCACACCTCTGACATAGGGTGGGTAGGGTTATTTTTAACGAAGTGGAGCCCCCCCGAAGGGGGGGCGGAACACACTGTCTTCATGCATACATTTTTCCATCTACATTTGGTGGAGGGGAGTGACTTATATGTAGGTAGAAAAATGTATGCGTGGAGACAGTATG